TGCCCCCTCATATTTACAGGGGGGAAACTTTGGGGTACCTTTGCCTGCTTTATAAAGTTCTCAGAACTATGTGCCCTAATCCAAACAGGATTGCCCCAAGACCTGCCTGGAAGTCTTGCCAGTTTTACTTTCCTGCCTTCCCTAAAGGCCTTCACAGCAACTGTGTTTGTGGCCCCATCGTGTCCTCCTTGGCCGGCCAGACCACATCAACAGAAACACAAGTTCTGGATCCCGCCCTGCCTCTGCCCTCTCCCCTCCAGCTACAGCAGCTGACAACTAGCACAATAAAACAGTAACTGCAATTATTAAATATTTTTTTTAAACACCTGCCGATAAAAACACAGAACAGCCATAGCAAAGGACGGATCCCTGAAGGCTCCTTGGATGTCTGCCTTCCTAGGTCTTAGCACAGCCAGCGCAGGGCCGTCTCCTTCTGGAGCAATCTAAAGATGTCCCCGAGACTGGGAGGCCTTCCATTTCATTCCATGTTTCTCCCCATCCAGCTACTGTCAAGACTCCCTTCCCATCTCTGTTCCGGGGAGCCTCTGGCAGACATTGGCAGATGACCTCTCCAGTGGCTTCCCTCAGACTGGGGGGGATGGTAATAGCTCTTGCCTCCCAAGGGGAAATGCCCTCTTAGGACCCCAACCACTGCAGGCAACGTAGACCACCACAGCTGCTCATACAGAAGCATCCCCCCATCCAGCCGACCAACAGGGACCAATGCAGTGCCAGTCTCATGCCCAGGCCTGACCCCCGACTGAAAGCGATCCAGGCTCCCCATAACTGTCACCTCACCAACCTTCTCCAATAGAGGTTCCTGTGCTGGCTGGGGCAAGGGCAGAGACACAGTTTCTTCTTGCATTAATCACTCAAAAAAATTAGACATTGTCACCAATCTTGCCTACCTCACTCTGGACAATTCTTTAAAAATGGCCTTTAATCGTCCATTCCTCTCGGGCTCCCTCCCTTTCCATTCGGCCCCAGTTCTGGTCACCTTATAAAATCAGGGTCTGGCGTTAAAAAGCTCCCTCCCTCCCTCCCTCCCTTTGTAGATCCTTTTAACCCAGTGGTTCTCAACCTTTTTAATGCCGTGACCCCAACCGGTCGTAAGTCGAGGACTAAACCGGTCGTAAGTCGAGGACTAAACCGGTCGTAAGTCGAGGACTTTCCCTGCCTGAGAGCGCCGCGCATGCGTGGTTCCGCCCCCTGCGCCGGCCGAGGCGTAGCTGGCAAGCGGCAGAGATGGAGCAGGCCGACCACCAGCTGGCCCAGCCCAAGGGAGGTAAGGCACCCGCCGGAAAAGGGGGAAAAATGGCGGACAAAAAAAATGGCGGACAGCCTTGCTTGGCGACCCCCGTGAAATGGTCGATCGACCCCAAATGGGGTCCCGACCCACAGGTTGAGAACCACTGGTTTAACTGGTCAGAGCTTCTCTCCACAAGAGAGAGTTTCAGGATGTCAAACCACAAAGGTGATTTCATATTTTAACCTTCTTCTGTTTGCAATATTACCCTATTGGATCCTATTGAGCAGAAGAGCTTCACTAGTGTTTTTAATTCATTATTTTTTCCCTTTGCTTTCTTGAATGCAGAACTGCAGATTATATTTACCTGTTCTAGTTATAGATGACTTTTTGACTGTTACCGAGGCCATGTCTAGAATATCCATGTCTCCTCTCAAAGTTTGTTTTATTAAAATAAGCTACACCATTCTCGTCTTCAAAAGCTTGTAAAGGATTTTGAAAAGAATTATTTTATAAATAAAAGAGTGGCTTTTAATTACAACAAATGACTGTATGCAGCATTAGGCCAAGCAACAAATGAAAGCACTGAGGTTTCCCTGAAGGAACCCCCAGTTTCAGAGTGAGATGGGCAGCACATACATTTAATATTTTAATTAATTATTTTTTTCCTTTGCTTTCTTGAATGCAGAACTGCAGATTATATTTACCTGTTCTAGTTATATAGATGACTTTTTGACTGTTACCGAGGCCATGTCTAGAATATCCATGTCTCCTCTCAAAGTTTGTTTTATTAAAATAAGCTACACCATTCTCGTCTTCAAAAGCTTGTTAAGGATTTTGAAAAGAATTATTTTATAAATAAAAGAGTGGCTTTTAATTACAACAAATGACTGTGTGCAGCATTAGGCAAAAGCAACAAATGAAAGCACTGAGGGTTTCCCTGGAGGAACCCCCAGTTTCAGAGTGAGATGGGCAGCACATACATTTAATAAACAAATGCTTATAATCCAAATCCAAAGCCCTCCCGTCCCTTCAAAGAAGATGCTGAGCAGCCGCCCACCCCCCCCAGCCTCCTGGTCCAGGCCATGAGCAGGGGATGAGGCCGCCTTGGAGTCCTTGACGGAGCTTCTTTCCTCTCCGGCCACCGTGACCGGAGGACGCGGCTGGGCCTGCCCCTCTCCAGCTGTTCTGAGCCCATTTCGCAGAAACTTCCTTAGAGCAGCTGCCCAAAGATGCCACCCACCCAGCCAGGCTGCTTCACGGCAGGCGTGGCAGAGAAGCCACGCCAACCCAGAAGATCTGCCCACGACAGGAGGGGAAATCGAACCTCCACAGGCGGGTCTGGGCTCCAGGGGTTCACAAGGCAGGAGGCCAAGGCAAGGGGTTTGGCTACAGAGCTCCTACTTTCCTTGAGATGGGGAGACACTTACAGAATAGCTCTGCCTAACCTGAGGCTGGTGGGGTCCCACCTCACCAACGAGGCCACCAGCCCCCTTCTCAGGACATCCCCACAAAAGGCTCCGTGAAGCAGCAGGTGCCAGCACTCTCTTGCTCCAGCCTGCTTCGCCTCTTAGCTGTCCTGCCATTTTCTGTACCATCTCCTGTTCTAAGGATGAACCTCCAGGGCCTCAGAAGTAACTAAGCCTTGCCAAAGCACAACACAGCATCGCACAAAGGCCAAAACAAAACAGCGGGAGCTTTTCTTTTGGCCTAAACTATCTGCCCAAAGAAGGACCCCCTCGGCTCTGCGTTCCCTTGGACACTCTCCGGTGGGCTGAAATCAACTTGTCACATGTAACGCCTCCTCCCTAATGTCAAATAGTAAAATTCAGTGAAGAGGTAGGGGTATATCCAAGGTAGCACATTCTTACACACACACTGTATTAAGCCATGGTTTGCTTAACTATGATTTGTTGTACAGGTCAGTGGTCTGGATCACACAAGAGGCTAACCATAAAATGGGGTGGGCAACACAGAGACCACGTGTGCAGCAGACTCTTGGATGCTGCTGCCCAAATTCAGAACTGTGATGCAATTAACTAGGCTCCATTATGACTTTACGAGTAGTGTGCACCGGCCTATATTTTCACACTATGCTGAACAGAGGCTAAGCTCCAGTCCCTTGGGGTGAGCCTGACATGGTCGGACATCTTTTGGGCCAACACTAAATTTTGAAGAGTGTGCTGTGGCTTACTCAACAAATTGAGTGCAGCCTCAATAAAAGCTAATGCAGATTTAATTTAATGTTAATTAGAATTATGTTCACTCAACAAACAAGGTATTGCTAAGACAAACACCAACATTCATTTAATTTACTTTAAATTTGGTTTAATTAATTAAACGCAGTCATGGGGTTATTCTCTACATTTTGCCCTTCAGCCACATTAAGAATCTCTGTGGCAGCAAATTTTAGAAGAACTCCTGGGGGTGAGAGAGCAACTTGTGAGAAGCTGAGCCTGAGAAGCTGATTCTTCTCTTCCCCCTTGAAGTCCAGGAACTCCGGTAGCTGCCAAGTGGATTCCCAGAGGATTCTCCAAATGGAAGCAGGGAGCTCAAGCCAACCAGGTTGGCGAAATCTGATCCTGAGAGCCCATTTGCTCCCCGCTAACATCCCACCCAGAAACAGAAATCCGAGGAGAAGAGAGGAACAAAACCAAAATCAAGAATGGCAATGAATCTCAACATGCCGTAGAAGCCTCAAGAAGCCTCAGGTTCTTCTTCACCAAACGTCTTTTGGTGGTCCACCTTTCTCTTCTCACTCATTTGTTCAGATTTTCATCTGGCTCTTAATTGTATATATTGGGCACAGAGGTATCAGTCGGGTGATCAAAAGAGCACTAAAATCTGCGGATAGACTGTGAAGGATTTTTAAGTAAAAGTGACAAAGCCTGTGTTGAAATAAGATGGAAAAAATGTATGTCTGATAAATCATGTATAACTATACATAGTTTATAAATACTTCAATTAACAGAAGCCAACACGGAGTTATCACAGATGACACAAAGGTGCAAGGGTGGGCTAATATTTTGGACGACAGAAGATTCAAAAAGATCTGGGCAGCCTCAAAGGAATTTAACAGAAGAATTTAAACAGGATGGAACTTAACAGAAGAAAGGCACAAGATGTGGGGAAACCTGGCTTGGCAGGACAAGCGGGGACAGGGATCTGAGCCAGGCGCATGACGTAGCTGCCACAAGGGCAAAGGAAATCTTGCAATGCCTCAATTGGTGCACAGAGTCCAGAAACCCAGGAAGGAACTGTTCCTCTCCCCTCGGTCCCTCTGCCCAGGTCAGACCCCAGGGAGAGCATTGGGGTCCAATTCTGGGCATCAGGAAGGACAGTGAAAAGCTGGAGTTCAGGAGTTAGGGTTACTAAGCCTGAGGAGAGTCAGTTAAAGGATCTGGGCAAGTTTGGCCTGCAGAGTAGATGACTGCAGTACAAGAGCAGCCACACAGGAAATAGACTTATTGTCTGTTGCACAACCAGAACTGCTAGATTAAAATTACAAAGAAAGAGGCGGACTTCCTGAGTTCACAAGCGGCGGGTCGGTGGAGCAAGCTACTTTCAGAGGTGGTCCATTGGTAAGAAGGGACTACTAGAGGACTAGGCATGGAGGGAACTCAAGTAAATGTGCACCACGTCCTGAGAAAGAGGGGAAGGTCCAAAGGTCCAAAAAAAGACAAAAAAGTTACCAAAGCCCCTTATGCCCACTGACCTATTTTTCTCTCTTCCAGGGCCTGCCAAGGCAACTACCATGGAAAGGCTGCTTCTGATCCAGCTTCTGATGGTGGGGAGCACCTTAGCTCAAGTGGAGTCCTGCCCCTTTCACTGCGTCTGCCAAAACCTCTCCGACTCGCTCAGCACCCTCTGTGCCAACAAGGGGCTCCTCTTCATTCCGCCCAACATAGACCGGCGGACAGTGGAGCTGCGTCTGGCTGACAATTTCATCCGGGTGGTGGAAGCCCCGGACTTTCTGAACATGACGGGCCTCGTGGATCTCACCCTCTCGCGGAACACCATCGACACCCTCCGGCCCTTTGCGTTTGGGGACCTGGAGAGCCTCCGTTCGCTCCACCTGGACAGCAACCGGCTGACAGAGATCAGGGAGGAGGCTCTGCGAGGAATGCTGAACCTCCAGCATCTCATCTTGAGCAACAACCAGCTGGTCAATATTTCTGGGGCTGCTTTTGATGACTTTCTCTTGACTCTGGAAGACCTGGATTTGTCCTACAACAACCTGCGCAGCGTCCCTTGGGAGGGCATCCAAGGGATGTTTTGCCTGCACACCCTGAACCTGGATCATAACCTGATTGACTTCATTATGGAAGGAAGCTTTGATGAACTCTACAAACTCTCACGGCTGGACATGACCTCCAATCGCCTTTCCACACTGCCCCCTGACCCATTGTTTGCCCGCTCCCAGATTGGGGCCATCAGCCCAACCCCTTACACAGCCACCATTATGCTCAGCTTCGGAGGAAATCCTTTGCACTGCAACTGTGAGTTGCTATGGCTGCGGCGTTTGGCGCGAGAGGATGACATGGAGACCTGTGCTTCCCCCCAACACATGGCTGGCCGGTATTTCTGGTCAGTGCCAGAGGAGGACTTCACCTGCGAGCCCCCTCTCATCACTCGGCACACCCACAGGCTATGGATCTTGGAGGGCCAAAGGGCCACCCTGAGGTGCAGAGCCCGCGGAGACCCCGAGCCAGTCATCCACTGGGTCTCCCCTGATGACAAAATCATTGCTAACTCCTCCAGGACCGTTTCATTCCGCAACGGCACCCTTGACCTTTTGGTGACCACCATCCGTGATGATGGGGCCTACACCTGCATTGCTGTCAATGCTGCTGGGGAGTCGACAGCCACCGTGGACCTCAAAATCATCCCCTTGCCTCATCGGGGGAACGGCAGCATCACGGTGCTGCAGCAGGATCCAGGCTCCTCCGACATCGCCACCTCGGCCAAGAGCTCTGCCAACGCCACCCAGGATGCTTCAGAGAAGAGAGTGGAGGTGCTGGAGGTGACTGCCACATCAGCCCTGGTGCGCTGGCTGGCAGATAAGTCGACCTACATGGCCTGGATGTATCAGATCCAGTACAACTGCACTGCGGACAATGCGCTTGTTTACAGGTAAGGGGCTGCGGTGTGCGGACAGGGCCTGCTCCCACGAAGGATGGACAGGCAAAGGGCTCTTAATTTCAGGCTCTCCTTCCTGGAGAAGTCCTGGCAATGACGGTCCCTGGCTGCTTCGGTACCATTCAGATTTCTCAGGATACAAACGGGCCTCTCCCCGATTACATCTCGGTTGCTCACTCAACTGGAGGGCTCTCCCTCTGTGAACAGTGTTGGACTGCACAACAGGCACAGAGTTGTCTTCCTCAGTTCGCCCCTTTCCTCTGTTCCCTCAAGACCTGAAGCATGTACCAGTGAGACAGCCGGCTGTGCTGGAAGAGATCTGGGATTGGGGATGCAGTAGGTCACGCAAACAGAGTGCAGCATCCCCAAAAGCTCGAGCATTGCTCCCTTGAAAGAGAGAGTCACCCACGGAAAGGGACGTGGCCCTGAGCGAAATCGCCCCTCGAAGGGCTTGGCTCCGCTTGGTAAAGAGCCGGGCCCAGTTCCTCAGTGGGGTGGGGGAGGCTTCAAAGGCTCGAGGCTCAAGCAGACGTTTCCAACTGCAGGGGCTTCTGCAGAACTTGCCACCCATCTGTCCGGCAGGAGGTGGGAGGATTAACCCCCATTCTATGAATGGAATCCTTCAGCACAGCCCAGTCAAGAGAAAGGGTTTTCCACAAATGATTTTCTTTCCTCATGGCTCCCTTTTGTAGGAATTTGTAACCTTAAAAATCACAGAAGATGTGGATCACTCCAATCTGTTTCACGCCACTGGGCAGCCCAAACAAGCCCTGGCTCTTAAGAAACCACCTCTCCTTCCCAGAGGCAGCTTGGGGTTGGCAGGCAGCCCCTGCCCCTCGGTCCTCCTGGGCATGCGATCTGGGCAAAGCAGTGGCCATTCGTCCCCTGAGGCAGGTCCCCCTCCCTGGCGTCACATCCTCCGCCTCATCCCTCATCAACTCCAGGGATTCAGCTCAGGGTCCAAAATGAAATGCTGGGGGGGGAGGGGGCAAAAGAGAGCCCCCCTTCTCCAGGGTCTTTAACCAAGGGAGGGACAGTGTTGAAGAATCAGATAAAACTTCACTGGCTTCTCAAGAAGGCCTGAGTGATCTGTAGGGTGGGACAGCAGCTCTTGTTGTTTATAGCTACGGTTATCTTTTCTTTCCTTCTGCACCAATAACTGTGCCACAAGATTATCCAGATTTTCTTGGACACAAGAGAATAACAGGCCATTAACGTGCAGATAAGCTGCCTGCATAAGAGAAGGCGGGATGGGGTGGAAAGGCCATGTCCAGGAACGGGGGGAGGGGGTTTCCTGTCCCTAGAGAGAAGAACCCCCCCATCAGAGGAGGGAGGGGGTGGATGCTGTGGATGCTTACTCTTCCCGTCTTTCTCGCCTGCAGGATCATCCCTGCCAGCAGCCAGGACTTCCTTCTTAAGCACCTCGTGTCGAGCATGGATTACGACCTGTGCATCTTAGCCATCTTTGATGACCTGGCCACCTCTCTGGCCGCCACCCACCTGTTGGGCTGTGCCCAATTTACCACGCAGGAAGCCTACCCAGACTGCCATTCGCTGCACGTCCACTTCCTAGGGGGGGCCCTGACAGTGACGGTGGGAGGCATCATCGTGGCTTCCTTGCTGGTCTTCACAGGAGTCATGATGGTGAAGTACAAAGTCTGTGGCAGTGTCCACGGGAGCCTGCCCAGAGTCAGCAACGTGCACTCACAGACCAATGGCGGACATCCAAATGGCCTGCTGCCCCAGCGGACACCCCCCGGGGAGCGCCAGCAGGGCTGGGCCAAGGCGGGAGCAGCTGAGGGTGCAGAGCGTCGGATGGGAGGGGCTGCCCGGGGGGCCCTGGCCTCGGCCAAAGCCAGGCGCAGCGGCTCCCTGGACATGGGAGACGCCTCCTCCAGCGCCTGCTACAGCTATGCCAAGCGTCTGAGCTTCATGTGGGCCAAGCGCAGCCAGTCAGTCCACGGGAGGCTGGCGCAGGGCACCTCCTTTGAAGACGACAGCAGCAGCAGGCGGCCCGGACCCTTCCTCAATGTGGATAAATTGGAGGAAAGCGTGGTATAGCCCTCGTGGGGGAGGACCGGCGTCCTACCCCTAAAGAATCTGGGACAGCGAGACCCAACGTGGAGGCCCACGGAGGGCAGGAGCCGATGGACAGCAGATGCTGGCCTTGCTTCAGTTGGTTGAACCAAGCCGTCCACGTAGCGGCCAGCCCTGCTGACCAGGCCATGCCATGCCCAGAGCACAGCACCCGGGCCAGCCAGGCTCGGGCTGAGCCCTCCTGCAAGCTGGGGAGGGAGAGAGGGCAGGAGAAAGAGGAGAGGCTTGGAAACAGCTTTTTCCTCTGCATTTTGCAGCTAATTGAGGTGCAAATATAGTGACCTGAATTCAAGAATCAATTATTCTGAAGCGGAAAAGAAGACAGCTTTTAAAGGAAAAAGAAAACAGTTGCCAAAAGAGAGCAAGAACATACGGTTCAATAAGTCTAAGCCGTCAAGGATTCAAAGACAGGAGAGTTAATACAGAAATGAAGCCTTCGGGCAGGATTTGGGTGTAATCTGTGTTAAAACAGAGGTGTAAAGGTTGGAGATTGGGGGGGTGGGGGATTCAAAATTCATGTTAAAGGCAAATTCTGTACCTGGCATTTAATGACCTCTATAAATGTCCATATGTGTATCTCTTTTGGCATAAGTGTCACTGTTGTTGTGCAATGGGGAGACAGTTCTCCCCTCTAAATTCACTTTGTAGAAAAGGGAGGGAGGGAGGAAGACTGAGGGCACCCTCCCCCCCAAACCCCAACTCTGGTTCGCAAAGAAGGCAAAAAATGCAAAGTCTACCTTTGCAATCCAATTAATTGAAGTAATGTCAAGCGCCAGGGAAGTCAGGAGATCCGGGCAGTTCAAAGGAACATAAA